CTGAGGAAGACTTACGATGACTCATATATTTTGCCCCCAAAGCTGTGTGGTCTGAGGAAACACATGTTATATCCATAAAGAGCTGACTATTTGTTGGTCAGAAACATATGTGGCAAGTATTGTGAGTCAGCTCATCTTTAACCCCTGTCCCAACACCCTTCATTCCTCTTCACAACATCTAAAATAAAATTCTCATTCTCATTTGCTGTTGGGTGGGGGCAGGTGAGACGTAAAATGGTTTTGGTCAAAGACACCCACAGAATTCTTTTCAAAGGAGAACGGCAAAGCCTCCTGGTGCAGAGCTTTGGTCCCTTAAGTTTGTCCAATTCTTTCTGTCTGGAATAAGAATGCCACGGCTGGAACTGTCACCGTCGTTGTGTGACCATGAGATCAAAGGCGGTATAGGCAGGCGAAGGAAACTTGTTCCTAGACAGTATCCTTAACCTCTGCAAGAACCCTGGACTGCCAGTTTCTAGACTTTTTGTTTGGCAAATGAGAAAAAAATGCTTTACTTATTTAAGCCACCATTTGTTTGTTTTCAGTTTATTTACAACATATTGGATTCTCAATCGATGTTCGGAACTTAGTATTCTATTCTAAATATGCTATGATCTTGTTTCTTAGGTGATAAGAATTTCGACTTCCTCTTTTTCAATTAGTGACAGAATGACAGAAAAGAGTCTCCAACATTTATTGATTCATCCTGTTGGTACGCAGCAAAGATCAAATGTTCATTAATTACCCAGGGTTCCCTAAAGGGAAAGTACTAATTTCAAAGAACTGAATACCATATTTAGGTTTTTATTGTCTTTCATTTCTTTTCATTTTTATTGCAGGGAAATCGATACGAGGATAAAAATATTTTAACTATTAACTGATTTGATACCCGGTAAGTGTTAGTTTTCATTCTTTACCTGAGTTATAAACAAGTAGAGAATCCAAAAGGCTTAGCTTTCAATTAGAAACACTGTGAAAGAAAAATTTTAATACCCCAGTTGTCGGCTACTGTTTCCCCTATTTTTTTGCACTTTCATTATACTTTGTTGATAATCAAAGTTTTTTACTCAAACTGAACAGATGGAAGTATGTAGATATGTGTGTAAAGATTCCTAGAAATCAAGCACAGAGTATAAGCATTAAGATACATCTGGGGCCACTGGTTTGTGATCTGGTACCTCTAAGCTTGAGCCAAAGGTTTTCCCAACTCCAGGATTATCTGCAAAAGGGAAGGTTTTCCTTTTCAAATTAAGCCACCCTCTCTCCCTAATGTGTATAAATGGGGATGGCAGGTTTCAGACATGTGCTTTATTCAGAGAAACTAAAATTTATTGGAATCTTATTTTTTTTTTTTAGTGTCAGTAAAAACATCAAATACCCATTCATTGGAGACAAAAGAAAGAAAGAAAGGCAGAAGTGGAAGGAAAGGTGAAAGCCCATCCAAGAACTGGCCTTTCTCTTCAGTGGAAACAGTGTCTGCACCTAGTATGCTCCATGCACTCTGATTGGGATAATACGATCCAGATGTCCGCTCCAAGAAGATTCCTTTCATGAGGAAAGTTCTGGGTGGGGTGGATTATTGTGATCAATGGAATAAACTGCAGCTGGATGAACTCTGGGTTACCTTTGAGAATTGCTAAATTAATGATGATTACACAGATTCTGACAAATTTCCCAGGAATTTTTTTTTCTAAAATGGTGATTAAGAAAATGTGTTTAGGGGCTAAATCTTTGAATAGAAAGTGAGAAGAGCCATTTAGAAGCCCCCGGATCTCTAGGAAGTTTTGAGATTGCAGGACTTTCGGGAAGAGCTGATTTTTAGTGAGTAAGCCTCAGAACAGCTACACACGTTGTTAACACCAGCACCCATTCTGACTGGTTGAGGAACATCCTGTATTGATTAACAAATATTTTGAACATCACCGCTGCTTTTGAGGAGGGGTTTGAGACATTAATTATATTGCCTTGGCCAACTGAAAAAGGTGGGTCAAGTCAATAGACCAAAAGCAATTAAGATGGAGTGGAATAGGAAGTGAGTTGGTCCTTCAAATGATCATGAACGGTACGCACAGCTGTACAGCAAATGCTTAGATGTTCATTTGATAATACCTTATTTTATTTCTTCCCAGAGCTTAGGTTTGCTAGTGACATAACCACTCAGATGCACACCAAAAGTGTTTTGCTGAGTGCGTCTGAGTCAGCTCTTTTATTTGGCACTTATTTATTAAGATCTCCCTTCTTGTCTGATATTCAACCAGGGACCAGAGTCGAATGAAGCAGATGGGCCATGACTGAACACACTGATTATTTCAAACCATCATATTTTAGAACTCTGGGAAGTAATTTGCTAATATAACTATAAATCTTCAGTGTGCTTCACAAAAGGTTAGCTCCCTACCAATAGGGAAGGAATCCAAGAGATTCAGAGCACAATTTCCCAACCAAAGGTCTTTAAAGAGAGCTTTGGGTAGCATCAAAGGCCCATAGAATTACTACTGATTTGATCATTTTGGATTAAATGGAACTAAATCATTAATTGTGCAGTAAATAATGATAAAGCCTCAAATTCAGGAACTTGGAAGGAAACTCTTGCAATGAGAGCCTGATATGAATTATAAGCTATTGAACACTCCATTATCTTGGGAAAGTCATTGCCAAATGGTAGCAGTTAATAGCAGAGATTCAGCTGTTTAATAACTTGGTTTGATTCTGAACTCCATTTCTTGCTAACTGTGCTACCTCAAGCAAGATTTAACTGGTGCAAGCCCCAGTTTCCTCATCTGTGAAGTAAGACAGTAACAATATTTATCTCCTAAGGCTATGTGAGGATTAAATGCTCAGCAACTGAAACACTAAATAAATCCTGTCTGTGGTTAGTAAGAAAAAAGTGCAATTGATGCTATTTTTTTAATAAATGAAAACTTGGGAGGACAAAATATCAGACATTATATTTACAGAGGAAAAAAATAATATTTGATCAAAATACATCCCTCCAAAAATTATTATTCTCTTTTGCACTTATGTTGGCTTGTTTCTTATGAGAAATTCTTTGCTACAGTTGTGGAAGACATTGGTGGAAAAGTGTGAAACAGTAAAATAAGGCAATACAGGAAAAGAAAACTGGAAGGACAGCTGTGTGTTACTATAAAAGCAACCTCTAAAATCCATTCACAGATGGACAAAGGCAGGTGCACAGTACTTTCTGCTACTCCAAGCCCCAACTGCATCCTCTTGGATTAAGAAGGGTTCACTGGTTCTAGAAGAAAACAAAAAAATTCCCACCAATTCACAAAGCATCCAAGGAATAGGCTATGTTATACCTAGAAGACAAAGGAAGAAGACAAGGGTGAAAAGGCTAGCAGGAATGTGTGTAGGAAAGCAAGGCAGTTGGACATCAGGCTGGACTTCTTACCAGTATGATGCTTAATAAGGTCACTGAATTATACAAATATTCTAAGATATTTCTTACATGCCAGAATTAAAGAGGTTCTAGGCCAAATTGAGAACTATACAAGATATTCTTCAGTTCTATATATTTGGTTCAAACATACATAAAAATGTTAATAGAATTAAAACATTCCAATCACTGGGCATGGTGGCCCACACCTGTAATCCTGGCAACTTTGGAAGCTAAGGCAGGAGGATTGAATGTTAGAGGACAACTAAGCAATTTAGAGAAAGCTGTCTCAAAATTAAAAAAAAAAAAAAAGTAAAAAGAAAAAGAAAAAGAACTGGGGATGTAGCTCAGCGGTAGAGCATCTCTGGGCTCCTTTCAGAGTAGCACAAAATAAATACACACACACACACACACACATATAACAGTAAAGTAAAATGAAAGAAAATACGTGTAACTCAGACCTGATCAAGACTCATACTGCCAATTATGCTTCATGACATTTCATTTCTACAAAAAATTATATTCTCTTTCTTCATAGTTAAGAGCTACTTCCCCCACACAACAGAGTTTCCCACAAAAACATGCCTTCAATCCCTAGACACCTCTGATTGAGTCATCATTGTTCCCAAGATCTGGCTGATCGGTCATTTATTCAAGTTTTCATTTTTCTTTCTAATGGCTAACATGTTAAATATGGTTTAAATTTTTTAGGGGGGAGAGTACCCAAGAGAATAAAGTCTATATGTATACACTATGTGGTTATGACTTTCAACCTGCCATGCATCCTGTGTTAAAATGATTCCTGTTGAAATACTGTTACTGTTACAAGCTGAGAAAATTTGGTTGATAGTGATGAACAAAAAAATAAAATGGCAAATTCTACAGTGTAGATTATCTGAAAATAGTGAAAAAGGTGTTATCAAAAATGTGCTTGAGATCTTGGCAAAATATCCTAAGACCAAATTTCTATAACTTCATAATATTAAATGCCTGAGTATGAAAGGAGCTGGAAAAAAAGCGAAGAAGAAGAAGAAAAAGAAGAAGAAGAAGAAGAAGAAGAAGAAGAAGAAGAAGAAGAAGAAGAAGAAGAAGAAGAAGAAATAAAATGCACACACTTTTTAAAGTACTTATTCAGCTATGTAGAAATGTAAATGTGATGAAATTGTTTAAAAATGTCACTTGAAACATGATCCTTTGTCTCACCTGTGTAAACAGACCAAACTTTTATTTAAAATCATGAACTTTCATATATTGGCATCTTTTCTTGAGAACAATGAACACAAATAATAGAGAGCATAGAATTCAAAGTAAGCCTCTTTTCATGTGCTTTTTTAAAATTTACTATGGCCCAAGGACACTTGCATTTGCTTGATTTAAGTAATTCATCTTCTACTTTTTAGACTTTGCTAAGCAGCGTGAAATCAGCAGCATACTTGTAGCAAATGAAGACAGATGTGAGTGAAGGAAAAGCCCTCTCCTGGTTCTCATAAAAGCTCTCAAGTTGCAGGCTGATGGTGTTTTCTCCTTAAAAGGTAGCAGAATTTACAATTACAAAAGTTTGCATAGTGGGAAGTTGCACAATCCTCCCCACCAGTGCCTCTGAAAAATTCCCGTTTTCTCTCTTTTGATAATCTCTCATTTGCCAGTGTATTCAGTTTCCATTGAGACTATTTTTCCTTATATTATCTCAAATCGGGAACTGAACAATGTAGAATAAAAATGCTCTAAAATATGGGGCTATAACGTTTTCTTTCTAACCTTTTTGTCACTTGGATGGAACATGTGAACACTAATGAATCATCGGGAACTTTCCAATATGTCCTGCGGCTGTGGTAAGCAAGACACCAAGTTAATCATGTTACTGCTTTTAATTTGAGATAATTGCATCCTTGTTTTGCAGTAGTTTTCTCAAGTCTCTCTGGCTCTTTGCAGATGTTGTGATGTTTGAAACTCACTCAAGTACAATCCTTTTCCAGGGCTCTGTCCTGAGAAGGTCCCTAATGAGAAAACAGAATTTGAACAGACCATGACCTGGTGTGCACTTACTTGGTCATTTCCATAGGACCATTTTCTATGGATATCAAAATGAGATATTATGAAGTAAACTCCTGAATTAGTATTTTCTCTTTCTCTCTTTCTCAGTGTCCTGAAACATTTCCAAGTGGATTAAAATGAAAGTAACATGAGTGATCATGTGATCCTAGAGTCAGAAATGGGCAGAAAGAAGAGATCACGTGGATTTAGAGTCCTATATTTAAAAAAAAATCAGGGAAACTGAATTCTGAATAAAAACAATGCAGGGTAAAAGCCTGCACTTTTGTATTTATGATACCCAAATGCTGTAAAAATCACAGATAGTCTACAAATTGATTCTGTTCATCTTCAACTGGGTTACTCAGAAACTAAGTTCTAGTTTGACACCTGATGATCCCTCAAGTCTCCCTGCTTTCTTTATTCTGTCTGTTCCGGATATTAGCAGCCCAGCAAAATAAGATGGATTATAAGACATAAAACCAATAGATGGGGGCTGGGGCTGGGGCTTAGTGGCAGAGTGCACGTCTAGCACGTGCAAGGTGCTGGGTTCGATCCTCAGCACCACATAAAAATAAATAATAAAAAAAGCATTGTGTCCAACTACAAATAAAAAAATATTTAAAAAAAACAATAGATGATGACATAGTCTCTGATCATGTCATGCACAGGAAATGCAAGTAGTTGGGATTAGGTATATGAAGAATGCTGTCATGAGCAAGAGAGGAAAGCATGATTCAAAGGAGAGACAAGGGAACTCTTTTAACTAAAGAAATAAAAAAATACATACCAAAGCCATAAATAGGCTCAGATCACACCTGTGGGTCATGTGCATGAGGACACGAATTTACGTATCTACATAAGGCACATCACCCACCTGCCACCCACAGGGTGAGCTGTCCCAGAGCCTGGGAATGACTTGTAAAAGCCAGTCAGAGCTCTGCTGCTCTGCAATATGTGAAAAAGAGCTGCCTGGAATGGGTGGTATCTCTTTCAATAGAAAACAACTGAAATTTTCAGAAAAGAGAATCGATGTTGTATCCTATGCCTTTCTTAGAATCAGAGGGAAGGAGGGTGGAGTGAACAGTTAAAGCAGTGGGTCTGGAGAGTTGGGGCTGCAGACATTCCTTGATTTGAGCACAGCACAACCCACCTGGCTGACCTTGACCTACAGGAATCAAATATACTCTCAGAAAAAACAAAGAAATGATTTTTTTTTCTCCCTAGCATACAGCTTTTTGAAAGAGGGTGATAGAAGACAAGCCTTCTTTATTTAATTCATAGAATTTATCTCTGTCTCCAATTGATTTTAGTTTCTTAATGTAGGAAAGGCAGGTCTTTGCTTTAAATACAATCCTTATCCCATCGCTCTTGGGATTCTTCTTTTCACACATGAGCTATAGTGCATAACTGGATGTAGATACCTGATGGAATGCAACTATCACCAGGACAATTTTTTTAGGATCAGAATAAGAAAGGATCCTCCAGAGCTGATCTTCAAGTTCTGCCATTGTCTAACTCTTAATTTTCCTTTGTCCTATGGCACGAGGCTTGGCATAGGTAGTTGTGCTTGGTAACAGCGTTAAGATCTGAATGGGCAGAAGAGAATTCATCAAGACAGAGATAACGCTGGGTGGGCGACTCAAGAGGTGAGCCCAAATAATCAACAGTGTCATTTAGTTTATTCCATGAAATTCCTCCCAATGCCAGATGCAGAAACTAAATAGCAAGATCTTTGGCGCCCCAAAGATCTTTTGACCCCTTTGTGAAAAAGGTAAGATCAGTGGACTACCCTCCCCTGTCCCCAAACATGCAGACACAACAGACATGTCCAATTTTCCATGAAATTGGCAAGAAGTCCCAGACTACTGGAGCCTCCGAAATGTCCTTGGTTAAGAACCTTCTCTAGAGCAGGCTTCATAAAGCCTCTTCTAGGATGTTTATAGAAGTTGGTTTGTTTGAGATAGAATGATGTCACAGTTTGTCGCTTTGAAAATTTGCCAGGAATTGAGATTTCCTTTTGTGGAGTGGCTTTTTCATGTCAAGCACTTTGTAAATATTTGTTGAGTGATTAACTGAACAAATAAGTGAGTGTGCAATATCTAGATCTTATAAAGGTATGTATCTGCTCCATATCAAAGGGAGTTTAAAATAATTGGCCATACCTTTTGGACCAAGATGGTTGTGCAGCTTAAAGGATCATCAGGTCCATGAGGGCACAGAAATACCTACCACAGAGTCTGGCCCCCTAGAATGTAATGTTAATGGGAAAATGAACAGGTAGAAACAAAGGAGGCCATCCATGTAATAGGCATACATTTACATTTTTCATTTGGATTTATAATCTCTAAAAGCTTCCCTTGTGGTATGTGGAAGAGTACCCTCCCTCTCAGAAGTCCATGTTCCTCACTTGGACGCTATGAACATGTTACTATGCAAGGAAAAAGAGACTTTGCAAATGTGATTAAAGTTATAGACCTTGAGATTATCTAGGATAATCCTCCGGAGCCCAGTGTTATTACCCGAGTTCTTAAAAAAAAACAGAGAACTTCAACAGCTGTGGTCAGATAAAGATGCAACAGTTGATGAAAGGTCAGAGAGGTGCCATAGTGAAGCCTTTGAAGATTGAGGAAGCACTGTGAATCAGGAATGTAAGCCATCTTTAGAAGCTGAGCAACAAAAGGAGACTGATTCTCCTCTAGAACATCCAGAAGAGAATACAACCATGCTAACACCTCACTTTTAGCCTAGGGAGACGTTTGTCAGACTTACCACCTACAGAAATGTAAGATAACAAATTTGTGTTGTTTTAAAACCACTAAGTTTATAGAAATTTATTATAGTAGTCACAGGAAATCAATACTCTCTGTAATAATGGAAGGTGGTATCTCTTGAGCAGCGGCACTGTCTTAAGTCCTTTGCATGAATTATCTTGATCCTCACAAATCCTTTCAGGGAGACATTAATCTTAACAACACTTAGCAGAACAGAAAATGGAAGCATCCTGCTCAAGGTGGGGCAAACACATCTCACTCTTGGAATCAGACATTTTAGCCATAGTGCAGGCAGGGTGACAGTGTTGAGGACAGGGAGCTAATGGACACAGGACCAGTGAATTGATTGGAGTTGCTAACCTTTCTGGAAGGTGTGTGGAGAGAAGGCTATGGGTATGTTTGTGTGTCTGGGTGAATCCGTGTGCTTGCCTGGGCGGTGTAGTGTCTTCAGGTGGGTCTGGGTAATCCTAGGTCAGGTGTTCAACACAAAAAAAGTGACAAGTGATGAAACTTAAGGGAATGGATTCCCAGGCTACAGTTTCTTAAAATCAATATTAAATCCCTGCACTATCCCTTGTAGGCAGTGGAGATAATACATCTTGCTAGCAATTGTCCTATAAGAATAAAAGGATAATCAAGAAAATAGGAAGCCATCAGTTTTTTCAGGGTTTAAAACTATCTGTGCATATTTAATATAATATCTAAGTGGAACTTCAGACATCAGGTTGCAGTTGAGGGGGTAGACTACAGAAGTCATTCTATGTAGATTCATATTCCAACTCTGGACAAAATCAGAATGACATACGTCCTTGTTTTTGCTGTGCTTCTTTCCTGCAAAAGAACCTTTTCTTCCAATGGTTGGAGTTTCTTCTTTCACTGTTGTGTCATTCCAAGTTTCTGTCCCTGCCCAAAGGAAGGAAAGGTCTGTCACTATTGGTCCAAAACTAGTGTATTAATGAGAACACCTTGGGGCACATTTGTGACTTATTTCTTCTTAAATCCAGTACTTGTTTGAGATAGGATTTACATCAAAGAAGGAATATTGTTTGATTAGTTTGGAAGAAGAAAAGCTGTCATTTAAGGATGTTACCCCATGAAAGCTTTGAATCAGTATCAATAGAAAAGTGTTCTTGCCTTCATGACGTGATTTCATACTTGTACAAACTCAAGGATATATTTCTGACATAATTTTATGGAAATTCTCTGAAACAAGTGAAAATATATGCTGTATTTATTTATACAGGAAACTGGTAAAATATTCGTCTATCTTTGACATATGGAGAGAGGAGGAGGGGGAAAGTGAGAGAGAGAGAGAGAGAGAGAGAGAGAGAGAGAGAGGTGAGTGGAATATATTGTTGTAGCTTATTATATTGAGAACAGAGTGCCCTTTATCATGGAGTTTCCATATGATTTATTTAAGTGAATAGAAGAGACAGATTCTTTGCCCAGAAGTCTTTGCTTTGAAATACCATGTGTTTCAAAGATCTAGAAATTGATTTCTCCCTGAAATTTAAATACCAAATTCTGGATATTGCCATCATCTCTTATTAGTTTCTGCTTGTTGTCTACGTATTTAGCTTTTTTTTTTTTTTTAAAGTTTCCCAGAGAAAATAAAACGGATGATCTTAGGCCTGGTAACCAGAGTCAAATTAGAGCTCAATGCAATCATTTTTCCATGTTCTCACAAACAACTGGAGTCATCATAGGCTTCTCTCCTACGTAAATAAGGTCTGCAGGACACAGTTTGTAGCATCACAAAGAATGAATCACTGTTATTTATGTTCTCTTTCTAGCTATCTCTAGAGAAAGAACTCTTTTGGCAGCCTGCCCACTACTTTTTTATGAATCCTCTCCTCCGCCTCCTTCCAACCCTCACAGCATGGTGCTCACAATTCACAGCCCTGCTCTGTGGGCCACACCCGGCCTTGCTCCCTGGGAAGGGTATGGCAGCTGCTTGGTCTTTACACAGTCCCCATTGTCTCCATAGCCCGGATTTGATAGGAGATGACTTTCAGCCTGTGATTGCT